GACAACTAAGCCAGAACTGTCACTGTCTGCGGTATAGAATCGAGAAGGGAGAGAACGAATGGGAAAAGGAAGAGTCACCGAGTAAGAGGAGAAGATTTGACTAACTTTGAGTTTGTTTTGGGGCTCGAAATTGCTAACCAACTCGTGTGTGTTGCGTACACACAACCCACATGCATCCACGAGGCTAAAACAAACCTCAGGACAACAGGATTATGGGCTTGGTTATTTACTTTTCGTATTTAAGTAGAGTTTCGAGATTTCCCGTAAATCGGTATACGAAATAGGATGAATACATGCTAGGAACAACTTTTGCAAAAGCAATGCTATGTTAACTTCAATGAAAACTTCAGTTCTATTCATAGGAATTTGGGAAAATTCTACTAACAGTCCTTCATCACCTTAAACGAAATTGGGTGAAAACATCTTATTTTACTGATTTAATGGTAGTCTCAAAACTCTACTTAAATACGAAATGTAAATAAGCTAGTCCATGATCCTGTTATCGTGTGGTTTGTTTTAGCCTCGTGGATGCATGCGGGTTGTGTGTACGCAACACAAACGAGTTAGTTGGCAATTTCGAGCTTCCAACCAAACTTAAAGTTAATAAAGTCTTCTTCTCTTACTCAGTGGCTCTTTCTTTTCCCTCTCTTTTTCTCTATTCTCTATTCTAAACTAGAAACAATGGTATTTCTGACTTAGTTTCCTTATTCAATATATTCCTTATTTTGTTCATCTCAATCGACTCCCTAATCTACCTCTTAGCTGTCAAGTCGATATAAATAGCAAAACGTTGGGTTCTAGACCATATAATCTGGTGTCCTGTGGTGAAAATAAGTTCAGCCACTTATTAGTTCTGGATCCACAAGTATTTGCAGGGTTAAGAAAGACTAAGAATAATCCTAATTGACAGAAATTATCCGTTTGGATTAATTGTTAATAATTTGAAAATACAAAAAAATAGGACGAAAGTAAACCATTATTTAGGATAGAACAGGAAATTGAACTACTCATCATCCTATTCCATTTAATGTTATACTGGTACTGTTAGTCGAATTTTCCCAAGACCCCAAAATGAATTATGATTCAGATAGACGGCACTTTGAAACTTGCCGAAACTATGTGCTCTAAGGTCATGGTTTGAGTCCCGCTGAGGATGCTGAGGAGACCAATTGAGGCGAGGTCGAGTCTGCACTCCTTTTCAGTCTGGATGAGAGCACCTCTTGGGAAAGCAAGATTATGTGAAATTGAATAAAAACGTAAGGTCCCCTCATGAGATTATAGGAAAATTCATCTACCAGCTCTTCATCACGTTACACGAAATATGTTGAATAAATCTTATAAATGTTAACTGCAGTTAGCCTATAAAACCTACTTATAAACGAAATACAATACGCAACTATTTTATGCATACAACGTCTTGCCAGATCATACATACAGCAAGGCTATGATTGCGTCAACTTCTCTCGTCCACATGCGCATGTAGGACAAGCGCATGTGGGCCAATCAGATCATGGAGTGGCTCGTCATGATCGAAAAATGTGACAAAAGAAGTAATTGAAGCGCAGCTAACCACATTTCCTGGTTTTGTGCTCGTAAATGATGTTTTCTGGATTTTGACGATGTAAGTGACATCACAGAAGTAAATTCGCTACGAATGGATCGGGATCGTAGGAGGGCGAACCGAGGTCCTTAACAATCACAGCTCCGAGAAAGCCCTTCCTCGATCCTGATCCATCCGTAGCGACTTTACTTCTGTTGCAAATGGTCTTCTACAACTTGCTCAGATCCCTGACGAACAGATTAAATATCCAAATTCTCCATCTTCGCAGCCGGATTCCTCTATTTTTATTCGGCCCAACATGGCCCAATGAGGCTGGTCAGCCGCGGAGCGTATTTCCGATTGTGACCTGATTTTGTATTCCGAAGGAAGAGTTTATTGGATCGAATTGATGATATGGCCTCACTGGAGACCGAAGGAGGATTGCTACGTGTTGGTGTGTGCCAAGCTGGTCTCAGCTGACCTTTCGTCTGTACCATCGAGACAGACATCATCAAAGCAAGTATGCATACTTTACGAAATAGAGCAAATATATCCTAACCAAGAGAAAAGGTAACCGGCTCGGTTGGCCACCTCAAGCTTGCTCTACATGCTCGCAAGCGGGTAAAGTTACCTTACCAACCGGAAGTACATTCGGTGGCAACAGTCTCCTCATGCAAATTAATAAACCAACGTATCATCCTCTACTGTTGACTCATGTTTGGGTTTGTGCTATTGTTTATTGTTTGTGTGTAATTTGCATGTCACTAGAGGCATGACAGTCCTAACTGGACACGCAGCTCTCTCTCTCTCTCCCCTCAAAATCCTATTTTTCTTCATTTATTTGTCTATTCCATTGTCGCCTTTCCGAGCCGATGTAAACTCAAAGTGGCCAGAGTTGGCACGAAACCTCGAGAATTGTTCCGAACCGAACCCACTCGTTTTTGCCGATCAGCTCTACCGTATGATCTTGCCTCGGTCGCTTAATGATCGGTAAACGTTGAAATGAACTGTTGAATCGGCTCACCTGCGAAGCACCAAAGACTCCTCTCCGCCTCCTCGTCTACGACTCCTCTTCGAGGCAATCGGCTATCCTGTTCCGCCGCAACGCGTCTCTCACCTCCAGACACTCTTCCAGCAGCGGCGGAAGGAGCGCAATAGCGATGGTGACCAGCATGTACGTCTCCATGGCGTATATCTGTAGGAAAATGGAGAGGATCAAAAATGATCTGACCCGACAGAAGCAAATGCCTCCTCAACTCGTCATCACAAGACCGAGCAAGAGTCAGCTTATGAGCGAGCCATTCAATCAAAACCTCTTTATCCATTCTCATCCACCACAAACTGGACTAAATTGTGGTCAGTTTGCGTGTGTCCAAAGATGAAAACATATTTATTGAAAAAAAAACATGGTAAGAATCATTGTTGGTACCTGTCAAAAAGGGCGATGAAGCTCAGATCGTAGAATTTTCCCTTGAATTATTTCAATTACAATCGACTATGTTGCATAAATTCACAGTGAACAGGATTCGAGATTTGTTGTAGATCTCGAATAAGCACCTTTTCAAACTTTGGTCGTATAAGCTGATGCGCTACTGATAGTGCGGCATTTCTGACAGCATTAGCAACCTGAACTATACCTTTGAATTCGCCTCATCGTCTCGTCAATACCCACAAATGGGGTTCTAACCCAGGTTCTAGACGTCATGGCGACGTTTTGCCCCTCTCCAAGCCAACTGGTGGTTATTATGAGATGTCTATAAACATGCATTAGTATCTAGAATTGACAAAGTTATGTATCATTCGATGCTGGAATCCCCTTCGAGATGCGGAAAGAACCTGGGTTGAGTTGGAAATAAAGTTCCTCGTGGATGAGATAGTGTCTTGGGAGACTGGCTAAATGCACAAATGACTAAGATGGAACAACTTCATGACATAATCTAGAATTTCTAAGTTTCTAGACTTCGTTTACACTCTATTTCGTCTAAAGTTATGACGAAAAAGTAGTGCAATTTTGGCACAATGATATGAGTAGGCCTTACACATCCAGTGAATTTTCCATATCCCAGCTTCTAAAAAGGTTTTCTCAACCAAGAAGGAGTGAACTGCAGATTCAGCCACTAGCGTGACTCGAATTCGGGTAGTGAAATTACAATGTACAGACTCGACACGTTAACCAAAACGCTTGGCTGCAACGAGGTCGAAACCTGTTTTAGTTTGCTATGGCCGTCAACACACTAATTATTTTACATTAATAAGTAGATTCGCGACACTACTAGTAGCTTGAATGTATGATATGTATTCACATTCTTTTGATTGAAGTGGGAAACTTCAACTATCACTCATTCATCAATTAAAATGAAAAAGTGTGAATACATATCATGCACAAGATCTACTGGTAGTCTCAAAAACCTACTCATAACAAGATCAAACAACTTCTATACAAGGAAAAGAAGACTGCAACCACACAAAATGCCACACCATCTTGGTCTTCATACCTTCAATAAAAATTATGCAAGTTGTTTGACCTTATCTTCGCAATTTGGTCGTATTTTCAGGAGTACCGAGAACACTGCACCCTATCGGGTGTTCATGGTATACATGACAATTTCCACAGTCGGATCGTGGACTTAGTACATTCGCAGACGTTTCTTTGGTATCGTCAAGAAGTCTTGTCTTTATTGTCTTTAGACTACAACTCTTCGAAAGAAATGAGTAAAGTCAATCAACTGAATAAATGTCAGTGGACAATTGGGTTCGAGTCCCGCCCATTGCCTACAGACAATTGGTCAATGGATTGACTTCATCTGTCTCTTTGCAGAGTTATGCTATGGTGCTAAATACGGAAAGACTCTGTAACGATGCCGACTAAGATGCCGACAAAATGTGTGTGAATGTACCAAATCCACGGTCCGACTTTTGAAATGAACATGCATATTATGAATTAGGCTGTGAAAGCAAGGCCAAACAACTTCTTGACTACGAATGGAGATTGCAACCATGCTAAAGGCCAAATCTCGAATAAGAGCTATAATTTATGAGAGAAAAATGCTAGCATAGGAGTTCGCAGGCGCTACACAGAAGCAGAAACAGAAGAACAGTATAAATCTATCAACACATCTCCTCACTACTGATGCGAAGCAAGTAGTATAACAGGCTTCGCAGGAGGTGAATTATAATTTTAGTCAAATGGCCAGGAGAATGGCCATTTCTGATGCTGAAGGGGTGAAATTTTACTACAAATCTACATTTCTACATCAAGCCGTCGAGACCAGCAGCACCAGCATTTTCTGTATCATCATAAGACACCAATAAATTGACGCAAGCATCACTCCAGTGACTGGTATCAATCGTTTCGCTTACCCAAGCGCTGAAATGCCCAAAATCAAACTGGCCGAAGAGGGAGCCGAGTCCCGGCCAGAGGAGCATTAACCAGAGCCAGAGACTGATTGTGCCAATCACGGAAGCAAACGTCGAGTCCTTGAAGGCTGTCTTGATGTCGTAAAGACAGGGCCGACCATCAGCAAGTCGCTCTGGATTGATAAGTCGCAGTTCCCTGGACCGACAAGGAATAGGAACCATTTGGGCGAAAAAAAGAAACGATGAATGGAGTTTAGGCGGCGTTTGGAAGCACGAAAAGAAGATAGGCAGGCTTTTCAAAAAGACACCAAGTCAAAAGCAAAAAGCCTTCTCTAAAACATTTGTACCCTTAAAAGTCGCGTACATGAAAAGAAGGTCCTTATAGACATTTTCAGAAAAATGTTCTCAAAATATCGCTGCTCCTTAACCTGAAGAAACAAGTTTATATTCTACATGAACTGGCCAGAAAGCAAAACCAGGATAAAATAAACCCTCCCTCAGATATTTGTACGAGCATATTTGCCTAAACCACAAGAAATTACGAATCGCTTATGGAAACGAACACAAAAATGCAAAGCTGTAAATTAACTCAAGAGAGGAGGAATACAAAAAAACTTGCTACTTAACGTAATAATAGTAGTTAGGCAAAATTAGGTTAATTAAATATTCATTATGAATTTACTATCAGAGAATGTATTCGTTAAATTTATTAGGCCAATTAATTAATATAATCAACTATCCCTCGAATAATATCATTACTTAGTTAACTGCTTGATTGGGGAAAATCACAAATTTGGGTCCTGTGCGTTCGTGGCTAAAAATGTCGCTTTCTTTAATAGTAGCCGGAGGAGGAATACAAATAAAATTACTACTTGACGTAATACTAGTAGTTGGGCAAAAATAAGTTAATTAAATATTCATTGTTAATTTACTATAAGAGAATTTTTTTCGTTAAATTTATTAGGCTAATTAATTTGTATAATGAACTACCTATCAAATAATATCATTAATTAGATAACTGCATAATTGAACGAAATCCCGAATTTGGCTCCTCTGCGTTCGTGGCTAAAAATGCAGCTTACTCTATAATAGCAGGGGGAGGAATACAAAAACTTGCTATTGAGGTAATACTAGTAGTTGGGCGAAAATAAGTTAATTAAATAGTCATTATTAATTTGCTATCAGAGAATGTATTCGTTAAATTTATTGGGATAATTAATTAGTAGAATCAGCTACCCCTCAGTTAACTATTTAATTGGGGGAAACCCCAAATTTGGGTCCTGTGCGTTGTGGCCGAAAATGCCGCTTACTTAATAGTAGCCAGGGAAGTAATACAAAAAATCTTGCTACTTGACGTAATAATAGTAGTTGGGCAAAAATGGGTTAATTAAATATTAATTATTAATTTACTATCAGAGAATGTATTCGTCAAATTATTAGGCTAATTAATTAGTATAATGAACTACCCCTCAAATAATATCATTAATTAGTTAACTACTAAATTAGGGGAAATCCCAAATTTGGGTCCTGTTCGTTCGTGTCTGAAAATGCCGCTTACTTTAATAGTAGCAGGACCGATAAGAAGGATAATGAGTCAAACCATTCTATATCTGTATAGGCCTTTTTATTTTATTTTGTTTAATTGAGTATGTATAAGAGGCAAGAAAAAGCCGGATAGTATTCTTGCCCTAGTGTTAACCTGGGACTTTTACAAGAATGAGTTCCAGCTCTGATTATGTCCATCGAATGATGAACGAAAGTTCAGGCCGTTTTCACCCAACACGAGGGTGCAGGTCTCGTGGACTGCGCCAACCTGAACGTCGTACAAAAGCCAACCGGCTGCATCCCAACACAATTCATCCGTCCTTTTCTGGTAAGATCGACCTATGAATCTCTTCTTCATACACTTTACTTCCAAAAATGTTGTCTCGGGAAATTCATCGAAAGCCAGTTTCTCTTCGTATCTATTAATCAACAAATATACAACTCCTTCGAGTCAGAAAGATTGGAAATGAAAGTTATTTTTGAGATAGATTTCATGGATGTGTGGATATGGGCTTAACTGACTTGGCGTAAATTTCTGTCCAGGGCTTCAACGGGTTGTCGATGTCGCGTACGCAGTCCCAGACGGTGTCTGGATTGAGCACAATTTTCGACCAGTTCCAGGTTGTCGCGTAGGTGATCGCAATCGGAAGGACGATTCCCAAGCCAAGACAGAACCCGTTTGCTAACAACAGAACATCCTGACGAGCTACGATGGAAGAGGAGTACATAAAGTGAAATTTTAAGGAGAGATACTTGCTCAAATCGGGCCTTTCTTTGAAATTAACACTCCTTTCAGTTGATGGAATCTGCTTGTCGGTTTTGATGTAATTTGGGCACCTAATATCTTATTTCCTAATCTATTTGGTACCCTAATGATTATCCTTTCATGTTGAATTTACATCCATTTTGAGAGAAAGTGTATGGCAACACGGTTCACATAGGACCTCTTGGTCAGGTGTCATTCAGCTATACTCAAGAGGTCTGATTAAAGCTCTCCTAGAAATAATTTCCTACCTTTCCGAGGAAAAATACCCAACTTTGGACTTTCATTTAAAGTAAAATACATCTTCAGAGCTGGTGTCCTTTCTCAAAGTTACTTCGAGCTGATCAGTCGATAAAAATTAACGGTCTATCCCTACATGATGTAAACATACTCCAAATCGAATGGGTTTTCTTCCTAAAATTAGACTCAACCTAAACGTTGATATTATACATGAACTGACCAGAATTAAAAACTAGTATTAGACGAAGTCGACTGCAAATTTGCGCTCAGGAATATTTGCCTAAGCCACAGGATAAGATGGATGGTTTAGGGAAAACGGACAAAAATATTAAAGAATTTAGATAAAGTTTACCAAAAACTTAGTAATAGATGCAATGATTTTAGCTTGGGCAAAGATAAGTTAGCTAAATAATTATTAATTACTTATCATCAAAACATTCGTTTCTTTAACTTATTAAGTTAATTATCATTATTAATTAAAACTTAATTTATTTAAATATTTAAGTTATTAAGTTACTCAAGTAGCATTACCATTTATCCATGAACAATTTATTTTTCATAGGTCAGAATCTCGTTTTTACAAAATGCGGAGAAAGATCCTACGGATTTACTGGAGGATTGAATTAGTTTAATAAATTAGTTGCCAAAAAATCATGAATAAAATCTAACTATAAGCGATTCCGTATTTTGACTAAGTAAGTATATCCGAGTAGTATCATATTCTTGCCTTAATTTCTAAATATTTTCTCAAATATAATCTACATCTATTGAAGACAGTAGTTGTTGTGACTTGGTTGTGCTATGCGAAGCAATAGATAGCTCATCTATATGATATGGATAACTGAGTACAGAATCCCATAGATGGTCTTAATAACCACGTCAAGAGGACGCCGAAATATCCCAAGTTTACGGTCCTCATAATGTACACATTTGATTTGTATTATAATTTAAATTTGATATATACGATTTCACGATTGTTCTACACATAAATAAGGAGAGTGGCTAATATTCAATGCAATTAGTACAGATTTAATGTGAATTTGTGAACCTAGTAGATAAAAAAGTGTCAATTGTGAACGATCGTTTGCTAAAGATCTATTTGGCTTAAATTAATACCAAAATATTAGGTCAAAGTACTATTTAAGTTATAGTATGCAGCTGAAATAAGCTGAAATAAAGACTCAGTTTTAGAGCTACTTAACCTACTCATGAATGGAGTATACATAAACTTTCGTAGCCATTTTTATTAGCGGAAGCAAAGAACTACAATGCGAGCTTGCCTGGCTCCCAGTTTGTCTGTTAATAACATGTCAAAAATATAGAAAGCCTTGTGCAATATAATTTATTAACGTATAACCAATGGATTTACTTTTAAGCAACATATTAACGTTAATTAAGGTGATCTCTTATGCATACTCAACCAACTGGATAGTTATACTAACTAGAATCGTGTACTAGTTTATCATTTTTCAGAGATGTATACAGAAAACCAGCATATAAATGCTTTATTATTTATTTATTTATAAAATATTACTCAAAGCATTTCTGTTGGCTTTTTTAAATTCAATGATCATTAGGCCCAGTAAATAAGTGGAAAGACAATTTCAAAATAATGAATCAAACTTAAACAAATTGAACATATTTCAATAGTATCGGCAGATCTTGAGTAAGAATTGTAGTCGTCCTATATTGTATAAGAGGATGAAGGTCTGTGAGTTGGTCTCACGATAACAATGAATGTCTCAAAGCCTTGCATCCCAGACTGTATTTCCCGCCTGAGTTGGCAACAGTTTCTAATCCGTCTGTGCCTTAGCAGCGCCTTCAATGGCACCAAACTTTGGCAGTCAGTGACTTTAGTTTCAACGTGTTACCAGGTTTTGTTGAAGAGTTGATTAATTAGTCTTTCATCAACTTATGCGACCTAAGCAGACAACAATTCCTCATCAAGTTCGAGTGACAGGTTCGAAAACCTACAGATTGATAATAGTAGCATATCTTTTAGATGTGTTCAGCCTATTTCGTTTAGGGTGATGAAGGAAGGGTAGTTTAATATTCCCACTATTCCATTCAATTTCACCTAGCCTCGATTCGCAAAAGTTATCCCCACCTGGATCGAACTGCAGTTTCGACATTAACACCTTTTCATCAGCACCTTCAGCCGGACTCGTACCGCGGCAGTGCGGCCTATCGTCTTGACAATGTGATCACTGCGCAACATTGCCATGAGTCCACATCTGTCACAAGGCAGATGTGAATTTCAAGGAAGACCAAGCATTTTTACATATCCCACTCTTTGTTGGGATTGCTGATGAAGGAAAGGTATATTTTCTAGAGCAATCGACTACATTACTTACTTTTCATATGCAATTAGTGTGACATGACTATACAAAAATTAGATATATGAGATGTGTTCACCCTATTTGTTATAAATTATCATCGTATTGCCATTTAATGCCCTCAACTACACAAAATGAGTAGTAACTAGTTAGTAGTATCTATAAATGTTGTTGAATTTTGCATTTGAATCTGGTGTTTATGCACCAATTAGTCGAGCACATCTAAACGTGCCAAGCTTGCAGATTCTTTGTGAAGCTTAGCTCGTTTTGTCTCTATTACGCCAACTGTCGTCCAACGCTAACATGCCTCCAGAAATGATAGCCAGTTGTACATTTGTTTTCGATAGAAAATGTCTTAAAGACAGCTTATGGCAAAAATAGGAACCATCTCACTAGCAAATATTTCATGGAAGTGGCGAACTGGTAGCAAGTCAGTCGGTCAGGTGTTTACATGTCGTGTTGAAGAAGTTCGTAAAGCCCGGATCTAAATAGGCAGCATAGGCGAGCCAAGAGATCAGTCCTCCGAGGGTTCCACCGATGGAGCCGGCTACCAAAGCGGGTCCCGTCAGTCGGCCCCAGGTGATCATCATACAGATCGAGGGGGCTTGTGGCCCCAGGAATAGGCCAATCACGACGTAGCACCAGCCAAGAGGAATCTGGCATCGAATGATGGGCAATCAGGGGGACACGGAGATTGGTGGGATGGCAGAAGAGGTATTTTTGAGATGCGATGAAAAGGTGTGGTTTGAAGGATTTTTTTATGGTTTATTGAAGGAAAATTCCATTTTGAAGGAATATTTGGTTGGAAAGAATTTGTGAAGTGGTCTCACCAGAAACCGAATTAAGAGTGCTGCTGAGTGAAGACGATTGGATTGTGCGAAGAACATCCTCAACTCACCGTCCTGCGACTCCGATGAACTTCTGCTAGGCTTTCGTCTCTACCGTCGGGAGAGAGAGCATCAGAGCGAGAATCTATACTCTAAAAAATAGCACCAAAAATATGCGAAAGCAAGAGAAAGGATGTCCAGCTGCCAATCCAGTCTCTTTATTTGGACACCCATCTTTGTGATTTTAATGAGCTGTCTAATTATTTCTTTGACTACCTCAAACTAATTCTGAATGCATGTCGATAAGCAAAGTTAATTCATGTTATAGGACTTAAAGAAACACTGATAAATTGAACGCATTAATTAGAAGTAAAACCAGACTCGGGCAAATTGTTTCCGAGACTCGAAGGTAGGAAGGCTTCTTTAAGCTCCAAACAAGCTTCGAAACTACCAGTAAGAAAAGAAATGATAAAAAATAAGGAGATTTTGGTATAAAAACGAGCTGAAGGAAATCATCCGAATCTAATGAAGTGAAGGGTAGGGAAATGCGTCGTTACAAAGTCGTAAATCAGTCCGAAACCTCATTTGGCATTTGTACTGACGAGGTCCTATCAAAGGGCTTGAACTTTGCCTTTTCAAAGCTTAAGAACTTCGAAGAGGACATTTTGGTAGAATTGATAAGTTTAACAGACAGTTTCCAAGAGGATACTTGGAGTGACATTGAACAACAAGTTGTCCCTTCAAATGATCGCCATGTAGATGCACCATTGAAGAAAAGCACGATTGATGCAATCATAAAAAAGCTAAAGGCGAATGGCCAATTATTATTGAGGGCAGAAAAATTAGTAGAACTGGTAGTTGGGATAGTATTAAATATGAAGCAACATATAACTCTTTAATTAGTGACCCAATAAAAGGCCTGAAGGAAAGAAATCGAGGGTCTTCTGCAACCATTTGTAGACAGAGGATAACTGAAAATATGAAAAGCTAACACATTTCCTCAGCGAGATGTTAAACCCAGAACATCTCAAAATTCATATGAAAAGTACCCTACTTGATATAATTGGGAATAATGCAGGTAGCATGATGCGTACAAAATTACGGTAGGAATCGTGGACGTTTTTTATGGGGAATTATGATGACTTTATAAAGCGATAGAAAGAGGGTATTTGCTGGTACGTGTCGATGTAGTGTCTGTTTACGCTAATAATCCGAAAGGCTAAGTTTGGATCAACATGTTGAGATCGTAAGAAGTACAAAGTTTGGCAGAGATGCAATCATTCGACAGTACCTTTTTCACCTTCACTGGTGGCTTGTATGAGCAAACATGTGGCTTGGCAATGGCCTCTTGCCTGGCGCCTATTTCAGCCAACAACTGAATGGCCCAATTGGAGGTTGGTGTCTTTCCACATTCACTCCTGGCGGCAAAGTTATGCGTTCTGTATGTGGACGATTACTTTGGCGCTTGGCAACAGGGAAAGGGTAGATTGGGCGAATCCGACGAGCTAATGAATAGACTCGACGGCAGTACCAAATGAGCTATGCATGCACAGACGTAAACTGGCCGAGCACAGAAGACATCGGATAGAGTGTTCTACAGGAATAGGCAAAGTGTATGAAATTGGGTACAAACTATGTATATGATGTGCATTCACACTGTCTCGTTTAAGGCGATGAGGAGACTGTTGGTTGCATTTTCCCACAATCAGTTGAGCAAGCCTCACGATTCCATTGCATTTCACACAGTCTTGCTTCCTAAAATTTATTCTCATCCACAGTGTGAAATTCAATGGAAACGTAATGTCTACTCACATGATTGAAGAGCAATTAAACTACCAGTTCTCTTATCATAAAATGAGGCAAGTCAGCTCATATTTATGATCTACTGATAATCTTGAGAATCTACTAATAAAAGGAAAAAAAAGATTTATTTTTGTGGGGTAGGCTCAAGTGGAGGGAGCAGGAAGAGCCATTGAATGTGAAAAGGAAGCAGGAATAGCCTCGAGTCTGGTTTTAAGTAGGGTTTTGGAGGATACCAGTAGCTCTTGAATAAGAGCTGTCTTCACACAATTTCAGTTAAGGTGATAAAGGAGTGGTAATTAAATTTTCCCGAAATTATTTGACAAGACCTTATGTTTACATTGAATTTCACAAAAACTTGTTTCCTAAAAGGTATTCTTATCCCCAGCGTGAAATTCAATGGAAACGTAATGTCTACTGACATGATTGAAGAGAAATTAAACTACCAGTTTCCTTATCACGAAACAAGGTGAATAACCTCACATTTATGATCTACTGATGATCTCGAGAATAAACTTATAAAAGGAAAACAAATGATTTGTTGTTGTGGGGTAGGCTCAAGTGGAGGGTGCAGGAAGAGCCATTGAATGTGAAAAGGAAGCAGGAATAGCCTCGAGACTGGTTTTAAGTAGGGTTTTGGAGGATACCAGTTGCTCTTGAATTAAAGATGTGTTCACATAATTTCGGTTAACGAGATAAAGGAGTGTTAGTTGAATTTTCCCACAATTACATCAGGCTGCTAAAGGTGTGCTGCTCATGTGGTAATGCCGATATGGGGCCGACTCGCCAACCCACCCAGATGAGAGTGTGTGAACGCAAAAACGCATGTGAATGTGCATGGGTCCAAAGATCTGAGCTCGCTGAGAAGATGGCGCTGAAGAGGACATTCAATAGACTGGCCAAGAAACACAACGTTTTGCTGGTTACGGAGATTTCACACTAAAGCGTAGGATTGGAAGGCGTATGCAAATGAGCAAATTAGGCAACATTGTGAATAAGAGAAACGAGTGTAGGAAAGTGAGTATAATCTGTTTGCGGCTGTCGGATGGGCTTGAGGAGAGGAGAGAAGGAGAGAAAGAGTAAACAGGACGAGCCAGTGAGCAAAAGAAAGCTGGACCAGCCTTGACTACGCTTGGGGCTATCACACATGTCATGTGTAGATACCAATTCCCAAGCTACTGCTGATGTATGAAAGTGCATGAAGAAGATATTCGTAGTGTAATGAGATGTATTCACCCTATTTCGTGTAAGGTGATGAAGGACTGGTAGTAGAATTTTCCCACA